TTGATCCATTGATTATTTAGGAGCATGTTGTTAAGCCTCCATGTGTTTGTGAGCCTTTTTGTTTTCTTTGTAGAATTTATTTCTAGTTTTATACCTTTGTGGTCTGAAAAATTGGTTGGTAGAATTTCAATCTTTTGGAATTTACTGAGGCTCTTTTTGTGGCCTGGTATGTGTTCTATTCTGGAAAATGTTCCATGTGCAATTGAGAAGTATGTGTATCCTGCTGCTTTTGGGTGTAGAGTTCTGTAGATGTCTATTAGGTCCATCTGTTCTAGTGTGTTGTTCAGTGCCTCTGTGTCCTTCCTTATTTTCTGTCTGGTGGATCTGTCCTTTGGAGTAAGTCGTATGTTGAAGTCTCCTAAAATGAATGCATTGCATTCTGTTTCCTCCTTTAATTCTGTTAGTATTTGTTTCACGTATGTTGATGCTCCTGTATTGGGTGCATATATATTTAGAATGGTTATATCCTCTTGTTGGACTGAGCCCTTTATCATTATGTAGTATCCTTCCTTATCTCTTGTTACTTTCTTTGTTTTGAAGTCTATTTTGTCTGCTACTAGTACTGCAACACCTGCTTTTTTCTCCCTGTTGTTTGCATGAAATATCTTTTTCTATCCCTTGACATTTAGTCTATGCATGTCTTTGAGTTTGGGGTGCATCTCTTATAAGCAGCATATGGATGGGTCTTGCTTTTTTTTCCATTCTATTACTCTGTGTCTTTTGATTGATGCATTCAGTCCATTTACATTTAGAGTGATTATTGAAAGATGTACTTATTTCAGTAATCATTGCAGTACTTACTGCCATTGCAGGCTTTAGATTTGTGGTTACCAGAGGTTCAAGTTAGCTTCTTTACTATCTGACTGTCTAACTTAACTTCCTTATTGAGCTATTATAAACACAGTCTGATGATTCTTTGTTTCTCTCCCCTCTTATTCCTCCTCCTCCATTCTTTATATGTTGGGTGTTTTATTCTGTGCTCTTTTCTGTTTCCTTTAACTGCTTTTGTGGGTAGTTGATTTTATTTTTTGCCTTTAGTTAGTATTTGGTTGTTCTGCTTTCTTTGGTGTGATTTTATTTTCTCTGGTGACATCTATTTAGCCTTAGGAGTGCTTCCATCTACAGCAGTCCCTTTAAAATATCCTGTAGAGGTGGTTTGTGGGAGGCAAATTCCCTCAACTTTTGCTTGTCTGGGAATTGTTTAATTCCCTCCTTCATATTTAAATGATATTCATGCTGGGTACAGTATCCTTGGTTCAAGGCCCTTCTGTTTCATTGCATTAAATCTATCATGCCATTCTCTTCTGGCCTGTAAGGTTTCTGTTGAGAAGTCTGATGATAGCATGATGGGTTTTCCTTTGTAGGTGACTTTTTTCTCTCTCACGCTGCCTTAAATACTTTGTCCTTGTCCTTGATCTTTGCCATTTTAATTATTATGTCTCTTGGTGTTGTCCTCCTTGGGTCCCTTCTGTTAAGAGTTTTGTGGGCTTCCATGATCTGAGAAACTACTTCCTCCCCCCGTTTGGGGAAGTTTTCAGCAATTATTTCTTCAAAGACACTTTCCATCCTCTTTTCTCTCTCTTCTTCTTCTGGCACCCCTATAATTCAGATATTGTTCCATTTGGATTGGTCACACAGTTCTCTTAATATTCTTTCATTCCTGGAGATCCTTTTATCTCTCTCTGCCTCAGATTCTCTGTGTTCCTGTTCTCTGATTTCTATTCCATTAACAGCCTCTTGCAACTCATCTAGTCTGCTATAAAGTCCTTCCAGAGATTGTTTTATTTCTGTATTCTCCCTCCCAGCTTTATCCATTAGCTGTTGCATATTTCTTTGCAGCTCTATCAGCATGGTTATGACCTTTATTTTGAATTCTTTTTCAGGAAGATTGGTTAAATCTGTCTCCCCAGGACCCTTCTCAGGGGTTGTCTGTGTGATTCTGGTCTGGATCAAATTCTTCTACCTTTTCATGACGACAGATGTAGTCGTAGGCAGTTGGTCCATGTGTCAGCTGGGAGAACAAAGTCCCTTCTTGTTTGTTGGTTGCGTTCCTTTCCTGTGAGAATGGCGACCCCTAGTGGCTTGTGCTGGGCAGCTGTGCGCCGAAGGCACCTCTGAGTCTGGCCCGGGCAGCTGCAGAGGATGCTCTGGGCGGTTGCTATGGGCAGGGCCGCTCTCAGACTGCTCCTCTGCTATGGCAGGGCCGGGCAGGAGCAGGGAATGGACAGGAGGTTGTTTATCGCCATGAGGGGCCTCAGAGCTACACTGCCTCCCAGAAGGTTAGGGCGCCTTGAGTTCTCCAGGATTCCCAGCTGCTGAGCTGAGTGTACCAGGACACTTCTGTCCAGCTGTGAGGCCCCTATCCCTTTAAGACTTTCAAAAAGCATTCACTTTTCTTTTGTCCCAGGGTCACTGGCTGTGGGGACCTGCTTGCAGGTTTTACTTTTCTGTTTCCCTAGTATCCAGCACACCACGCAGCATGTGTCTGTGCTCCTGGTGTGGATGACTAGGGCTGGTTATTTAGCAGTCCTGGGCTTCCACTCCCTCCCCGCTCCGACTCCTCTCCTCCTGCTGGGAGCTGGGGTGAGGGGCACTCAGGTCCCGCCAGGCCGTGGCTTGTATCTTACCCCCTTCATGAGGCACTGAGTTCTCGCAGATGTAGATGTAGCCTGGCTGTTGTACTGTATCTTCTGGTCTCTCTTTTAGGAATAGTTGTATTTGTTGTATTTTCAAAAATATATATGGTTTTGGGAGGAGATTTCTGCTGCCCTACTCATGCCACCATCTTGGCTCCTCCTCCAGTAATTTTTATTTTTAAGAATAAAAATGATAGGGTTTTTATTCTTGCATATATATTCAAATAATATTTATTCATAATAGTCACAAAATGAATTCTGAGAACTGCCATAATTTTCCTGGGTTGCAGCTGTCAAGGAAGTAATTAGAATATTTAAATATAAAATGTGGGAGCTTTAATATGAGGCAGATGTTTAGTGCTTAAATATATTTCATTCATTGTTTTAACTAACAGAGACTTAAAAAAAAAATGACTGCTTTTCCTATATAAAGCTGACACTTCTCACAATGTTTTTTCCCCCTGTAACAGGAATGAATTTACACTGAGACATTCATATGTTCTACTTCAGTCTCCCCTTTTAACAAAGAGGCCCATGTTTATATTTCAACCAGCCCAGGTTAAGGTTTTGGTATGTGCCATGCCTGTGGAACATGAAGCTGACTGGCTCACAGAGTATCAGGTTCTTGACCTTAACGCTCCACTTTGATTTACTGAGTTGCCTGAGACCATGTATGCCCCAGTTGTGGAGCTAAAGCCTAAGGATAATTTTAGCCTGTAAATTAGCAGTTACAAAATCTCATGGTAGCTGTCCTTTTCTGGACCACACTTGACCTGTCACTTGCCTTATGTAGGTTGCTATTGCTGGGGCCCCAGTCACTCTGTGGATCTTCTATGATACAGGCTACACAGAACGTTACATGGGTCATCCTGACCAGAATGAACAGGGCTATTACTTAGGATCTGTGGCCATGCAAGCAGAAAAGTTTCCCTCTGAGTAAGTTCAAGCTTTAAAATTAAGATTAAACATTTAAAATTGTATTTCATAAAAATTGTCTGTAATCATAATGAAAACTCCAAATGCTGCAAAACCAAGACTAATACTTTATTGAACACCAGAATGACATAGCTGTGTTTCTCAAAACAAAATTACAGGCCAATTCATATCATTAGGGTTTTGTACAAGTTATGTTTAAGGCAGTTGCTTGGTCTGAAAGAAGTTTAAGTGTACAGCTGTTTCAAGGTGGAAAAAATTATATTTCTGCCTAAATATATTTCACCAATAATGTTCATGATTTTTATTTTTCTGGGACATGTCATAATTATACGTGTGTGCTAGTGTCTTAATAGGAAATTGAGCACATGATTTTTAAAATTTTTTATTACATGTAGCGTTTCATTAAGTATTACTAATTTAATATCAAAAATGTTGAATCCTTATTCTAACATTTCAGTATAAAGAACTTAACATAGCTAATTTTGATTAATTTGAAGGAGTTAAGGGGTTTTCCCAAATACTCTATTTTACCTAATCCTCTGACGTTTCCATTTCTCCAGACCAAATCGTTTACTGCTCTTACATGGGTTCTTGGATGAGAATGTCCATTTTGCACACACCAGTATATTACTGAGTTTTTTAGTGAGGGCTGGAAAGCCATATGATTTACAGGTAAGTCATACATTTTCTAGTTATATTAAGTAGTGACTGATTACTTTGAAATATAACAAACTATGGAGTAAGGCTGAATTTTCAGCCATGGTCACTCACTGCTTAGAGATCTGAATTACATAGGCACAGTTAATAGTGCCTCTAGTTGGATAAAAATTAAGATTCTGTTGGCGTCAGGCAGAAACTGGCCTATCAGATTCCCTGACCTGTGTGTCTGTCTGCTTTCAGTCTGTAATCACCGGTACGAGGACAGGAGTCCATGCAGTGTCTCCTTTGCTTTTCTCCTTCCTCTCAGAAGGGTGAGGGAACACTACTTGATTTCACTGTTGTAAAAGGTTTTTAGGACCTGATTACATGGTCTTTCAATTTTTTTATTTTATATTGACAGTGGAACGGAAGCCAGCAAGTTACCCACTAACACTGCTCTGTTACTCAAAAAACTTCTTTTAAAAAACTCCTCCTCCTTTGTACCCCTGCCACAGATAATGTGCTCACAAGAAAGAAAAATGCTGCTCTTTCCTTTTTTATTTTTCAGTTGACATTTATGAGATCTTTGTCTACAATTTTCAACAGTTTTCAAGTGTTTTAGTCTCTGGACCCCTTTATATACCACAGAGGAGTTGTTATGTGAGTTATGCCCATCAATATTTCTGATATAAAATATTAAAACTAGGAAGAGTTTTAAATATTTATTTTTAAATAACAATAATAAACTACATGTTAACACGAATAACATTTTTTTATGGGGAAATAAATGTACTTTCCAAATAAAAAAATTTACTGAGAAAAGGAGCATTTTTTTACATTTTGTAAGTCCCTTTAACATCTAGCTTAATAAGGAAGACTCCTGGGTTCTCATATCACCTGGATTCTATGTGCAGTCTGTCATGAAATGTTGTTTTGGCTGAAGTATACAGTAGGTCCCCCCTTATCCACAGTTTTGTTTTCTGTGGTTTCAGTTATCCACAGTCAGCCACAGTAGAGAAGTAGGTGATCCTCCTGACATATTGTCAAAAGGTCATAGTAGCCTAATGCTACATCTCAGTGCCTACCTCATTCATCTCACTTCACCTCATCATGTAGGCATGTTATCTCACCTCATCACAAGAAAAAGTGAGTATAGTACAGTAAGGTATTCTGAGAGAAAGACCACATTCACATAACTTTTATTATGATATATTGTTATAATTGTTCTATTTTATTATTAGTTATTGTTAATCTCTTACCGTGCCTAATTTATAAATTAAACTTAATCATTGGTATCCATGTGTAGAAAGAAACATAGTATATGCAGGGTTCAGTAATATTCACAGTTCCAGGCATCCCCTGGGGCTCCTGGAATATATCCCCCACGGATAAGGGGGAACCTCTGCATGAAGAAAATTCAGCCTCACAGAATATGTAGTTAAGCAATGGGAGGAATATTTTAGCCTTCTCAAATAATTGTGGAGGTAGTATTTTTCTTTGATGCCACACCAAAACTAGACAAGTTTAAAATATATTAGATCTTATACTTCAGATGGGTCTTTTGCCTATGCATTGGTCATCTGGAAAATACTGGTTCACCATGTTATACCAGCCTTCTAAATGTTGACCCATTTCATTTTACATTATTTTTTAAATCATATGTATTAATATTACCACTGATCTCATCAGAAAAGTCTTTCAGTATTGGGAAGCTCATGAATTAGTAGTGGTAGATGCAAGTTTTCCAAAATTCTAATTTTCACTTAAAAGCTCAAAATTTATCATTGGCAACAAATACTGTCAGTGTTGCCCTCAGAGCAACCAGCTCACATCATTCATTTTTGAGCAAAGGTTTGTCATATACCCAGGTCTGAACCACCATAGTTGTCAGTCATTCTTTCAAGTTAAAAGTGGAGTTCTGTGTAAAAAGTGGCAGTCACGCTTGCAGCTCAGCTGCACAAGTGCTCTTCCGTTGAGGCGTCCTGTAGTGGAAGTGCTGGATGCGTTCTTCCTGTTTCATCACTACAGGTACTCAGGTTGCAATTTAATACAGTTCTAATGTTTACTGCCATTTAAGTGAAATTGGCATTTTTCTTTTTTACTGCAAGTGGGTGGTTGTGAAAAATACTGACTTCTGGTACAATTCAATCTCACCACTTTGGTTCATGCTAAGGCACCCGCACTTTTACCCACCATTGCTTTTGCATTATTAGTCCACATGTCAATACAGTGAGTAAAGGCAAGTAATGTTCTAAGAGTAGTTTTGACCTTCTGTACAGATCCCTTGTAAGGGTTTCCAAGGACCCCAGAAGTCTGCAGACCACACTTGAAGAACAATTGGTCTACAGATAAATCCTTCTGTAAACCTAGTGGCATATGGGGAATTACAGAAAGAAGAGAGGAACCTTTAGACAGATGTATTTGTGTGATACAGTGGAGAGGCTGTGCTCCATATTATTATTCCTGTTGAAAATCGTGGAAAGCTTTGGAAGGAGATGTTTATTAAATTCTTATTTTTTGTATTTTAACTTTTTTGTTGTTGTTAAGATTTATCCTCAGGAGAGACACAGCATAAGAGTTCCTGAATCTGGAGAACATTATGAACTGCATCTTTTGCACTACCTTCAAGAAAACCTTGGATCACGTATTGCTGCTCTGAAAGTGATATAATTTTCACCTGTGTAGAACTCTGGTATACACTGGCTCTTTAACCAAATGAGGAGGTTTAATCAGTAGAGAACATAGAATTGATCATACATTTTGGTACCTGCCATATAACATCTACTTCTGAAAATATGTTTGGTGCCATGCGGTCATTTAGCTATGGTTAAAAATCTAGTATCTTAACCATACACACACAAAATTGAATGACACCTATTTCTAAGGCACCCAGCAATACCATGAGAATTACTGAAAGAAATAAAACCTTAGCACCATGTATCCATACTACCTTATTTTCACTTTTTAATAGCATTATAAACCTCATGAACTTAATTAGTGTATTTTGACAGTATACTTCTGAGTTTGTTAAAATATGATGGTATTAGTGATTGGTTGGTTCAATTCCAGAAACTCTGACTAGTTACAGATTTGGTAGCACTTAAATGTAATTGAATAGCTTATGCTTCATTGCTTGGGGTGTATCCAGCATGTTATGAACTAATCACTATTAAACCTACGGCTTGACCAGTCATTTATGATTTTCAAGGATTACTTAGTGACCTCCTAAAGACACTTATTTTGTTTCATTCAAGCTCTGACCAGATTTTAGCCAATTAAAACTGTATTTAGTATAAATAGTTCTCTTGGATGATATGACAGAGTGGGTTTCTCCTTTCACATAAAGGCAAGTAACTGTATATGTAGCATGGATTTAATTAGTCTTATAATACTGATAATTACAGGCAGAACATTTTTAATCAAATGATTAGAGCTTAAATATTTGCAGGCAATTTCCTTTAGGAAAAGGAAGAAGTACATATTCACTTGTATTCTTCAGAAAATTTAGTGGTGCCAGTTTCCATTTGGGTATTTTCTTATTAAAATGTTCCAAAGTTTTAGGGCAATGAAAGAGAATCGTGGTGGGGTGGGGGAAATAGGGTGTGGAGAGTGACAGGGAGAGCAGAAGGTGAGGATTTGCTTAAGAACTAAGTAGGAATATAATTTGGCCAAAAATACTCATGAAAAAGTTTGGGAAGTGAAATTTAAACTCCTAGAATGTTAGTTACAGAAGTCAGAATTAAGTGACTCTCTTGCCAGTACATTTAAAGACTAACACTCAGGGAAGAAAAGTTCCTTAGAGTTACCTTTATAATTTAATTCTAATTTTTTTTCTTGATTTTGGAAACCTTAACGAATTCAAGCTTTCTTTATCCTTTTTCAAATTCTTTGAGCATAATTTAGACACTGTGAGCTTAAAATGAAGAGGTTTCCTGACAGCCTCTAGCGCAGCTGATCGTCAGGAAGCTCGGCTCTCTCCTCCAGTGCTCAAAGCACGTAAGCGATCGTGCTGAACGGCCATGACATTTTCCTGGTGTAGCCCTGGCACGTGACTATATGGGAGCCCATAGGCTTTCAGGTGCTGATTGGGATCTGTCCTCTTAGAAACTTGGGGCGCTAGATGTGAGTCTCATTGGAGCTAGTGCGAGAAGGCACCTAGGAGTTTGACCCTTTTTAATCACAAGCCCTGGTATTTGGAACATGTTACCAGTACTTTTAAACACTTCAAGAAAAATTTCTCTTTTTCATTCTCACCACTACAGATAGTAGATTATTCCCCCAGAGAGAGCACAGCCTCCATTAGTAAGATGGTGATTATGCGTCAGAGGTGGGAGGAAGTCCAGAAATGGCAGGCTGACCTGGTGGTTCTGTCCTTGGGAAAGGGATTGGGTTTTGCTCTTTGTTTATTTATGTTGTATAAGAGGTACCACAGTTTTCTTCACTGTCTGTATATGTATTGATTTTCTTGTTTATATTTTCCCATTCAAAGATTTGTTTATATTTTTTTCAATGTTAAATTAAATTGATTTGGGTAACTTTTCTTCCCCAAGGAAGTATTTTCCCCCATGACTTAAGTATATATCTGACTATTGAAGGTGGTTTTTGTTTGTGGACTAGTTGGCCTCCAAGAATCTATCCTTATATAATATGCAAAGTAAAACTGGTATACACTGGCTTTTAGACAGCTACTCATTTGAAACCTCCTACCCATTAAGGCTCATTCTTCAAATTGGCATGTCTTATTTTTACCAAAACAAACCTTAAAGAACATCATGTACCCTTGAATTCACATGTGTTTTTCTTTTGCATCATGCCTTCTCCTTTCCTCTTACCACAACTCTAATTCCCAGTCCCTTAAGTGCCATTCTCCTTCTACAGGGGGGAAAAAAAATACCTGACTGAATTCACATGCGGAAAGATGGCTTGGCTGAATTTGGTTCTTAAAACTGATACAGGAAACATCATAGTCAAGTCAAGCAATCAATTAGTAGAGATCTCATCTAAAACTATTTGTACCCTGTCTCTGGGCAACAACTTAAAAGCAAGCGTATATAAAAGTACTAACAGTTTTGGTGACAGCCAAAGAGCACTAGGCTAAGCATTAAAATGGTTGCATGTGAGCAACCCTTAACAGGTACAGTTGCTTGTATGTTGCTGAACAGTGGAACTCAAAACCTAAGATTCAGCTGGGGTGCTTGCTTGCTAAAAGAAATGCAGGCTTGAACCTCATTCTTAGAAATCTAGGTTCAGTTGCTTTGGGTGGAGACCAGGAATCTGCATTTCTAACAAGCTTTCCAGGTGATTCTAAAGCAAGCCATTTGTGGGCTACTTTAAGAAACTCGTTTGTAGAGAATGGAGTTGGATTAAACAAACAATGGGTGATTTGTACACTGGACTGATTTACAAGAACCTAAAAGAGTAATCAAGACAGCTGCTCATCTGTGATAACTATCGGCCCCTTCTCACTCTGAGAGAAGCAGAATGTACCATTAACTGTATATCCCTTTTCATTTTGGAATGAAGGTGTTTTTCCCCCATGCCCTTCCTGGTTGTTTCCAAAGCAGTATGAAGTCACTATGCAGGCATTACCTTTTAAAGGAACAGGGTACAGATATTGAGGCTGTCTTCTTGCTACTTGTTTTACTCTTTACAGAGTATTTCCCACCTCTTTGTAGACATCGTTCTCTCTTTAGTTGGAATGATTGCTATAAGATCTCACATTATAGAATTGTAAAGTTTTCAAGCTATTAAATCTGATATAATATTATCATTTGTTAGGGGAAGAACCTACATACAGAGAGAGGAGAAAATACACCCATGGCCGCGCAGCCAATTAGTGGTCAGTTGATACTAGATTCCGCCCAGATGTCCTAACTCATGGTAGTTAAATGATATGTAGAAAAGGCAAATTTTTAAAGAAGTATTTATTAATATATTCCTATGAAACATTTTAAAGATAACATAAAATGGTTAATTTTTCCATTCTAAAGTAAATGCTAAGCATGCTTATTAATGAAGCAGTTCTAATTAGTATATTGACATTCTGAAGTTAATTAAAACTGTTACACTAAATGTGTCTTCCTTGGTATGGCAGGGGACGTGGGGATTGGGATATAGAATAGAGCACTTGCTTAAGCCTCGGAGCCCAACTTATATAGCTGTTTGAGCTAAGAGACAAGACATGCTGTATCTGAACTAACATGTAGGTCCATTCCCAGTAGACAAAGGAATAAGGAAACTTCCCTAACGCGACCTTCCCAACCCTACCCAGTCTCACCTATCCATCTTGTGTCCTAAAATGTAGAGACATGTTAATGCAGGGTGCTGGCTCCTGCTTTTCTTACTTTGTCAAGAGACAGCTCTGGGTAATTTCAGAAGTCCCTCACAGAGAGAAAAAGTAGTGTTTGTATGTTTGTTTTTAAATAACCCAAATACAAATTTATGTTGTATTCTGCACAATTGGAGTTCAGGTATTTAATTTTAGAACATGAAGTGCCTGCTGTCTTAAGCATTGACTTGTATGAAAAGAATTGCATGTCTCACTCCAGTAAGTTTATGGGTTTTCTCATTTTCAGCTACATGGCTTTTAATAATGTAAAGTGAAACATTAGTTTTCTTGAATTTTATTACAGGTTCTTTGTTGCAATAAAGATGCTGCTAAAATTAATGGATGTAAATACTCCTGTTTCTCCCATTCCCCATTTGTACAATCTTGCCTTGATTAGTGGCAACTGTGGAGTGATTAATACACATGAGCAAGGTCATGTGCTGTGCTTGCAATGGAGAAGGGAGACTGCAGGGTGATTCCATGGAGTTTCTAGTCTAAACACTAACCGAAAGTGCATCCAAATGCAAAGCAAGCAAGCAGAACACGGCTTTGTACCTGCAAGTGGTTCCCACCAACTAGCAGCTGGTGCTGCAAGGGTAGGTAGTGCTTGGAGCCAGTGGAAAGCACATCCTCCCTGAGCAGCTGGGAGTTGCTTGAGGAAATGCCCCTTGGAGTTGATAGTGGTTTTGCATGCTCTCCAGGAAATTGCAAGAGAGTTCAGTTAACACTTTCTTTTTAGAGGTTTCTTTGACAATTCTCTGGTCTTTTGAAGCTGTATTGGAGAAAGGGTGGGGGAAAACCACCAGATAAACCCCTCTAAAATTAGGAAATTTGAGTTGTCTGATAATCCAGAACAGTCTGGATTCTATAACCCTTTGAAGTATCCAAAATATTGCATGAGTGAGTGGAGGTGCATTCTGGGGAGGACTTCGGCTTTATTAGATTTTCAAAGGGATGATGATGATCCAAAGAAAGAATCACTGCTGTATTATGTATAAACATAATGCATAATACATAATAAGCCAACATACAGTTGGGCTGTATTATGTATAAACTTTTAATTTGTATACAAAAATTATTAGAAATAAAGACCTTTAAACAGGGTAATGATATAGACAAGTGCTTCCTAACTTTCCCACCTCAGGACACAAAAACAGACATTTGTATGACCCTGGGATAAACTGGGTTAACCTGTTGAGGCTGCTTGCAGTCAGAAGTAACTGAACAGGCCTCCCCAAGCTCTAAAAAGATTCAGTATATGAATAAACCTATTTATGGCATGGGCTGGGAAGCTTTCTATAGACACCTTTGTTTTCTCTAACTCAGCCTGCATTTATTACTAATATTACTAATAAAAAATCAGCATTCGACCCGGCCACAAGCATCCTGTAAGAACTGTTGGAGGTACAGAGTTCCCACAGGCTCTTAGGGTTCCAGTGCTCCAGAATCAGCAGAGCAAGAGTAGAAACAGCTACAGTATGAGAATCTCATAACCATAATTTTATTTTGGGCTTAGAGTGGTTTGGGGAATTACTAGGGTTTGAATGTTCATCAGCATAGTTCTGGCTACAGATCTGGTGCCCTGGCCCTGCCACCCTGGAAGAGGTTGTGCTCCCAGTGAAATGGATTAGATTCAGCCCCAACACAGGCAAAGAGACTGTTTAGTTTGCTGGGTGTCGTTTACTAAAAGATGCACTCTCTGGCTCCCAAACTCAAGTCCTTGAAGTTTGGAGAAACAATAAGCCAGGATAATTGTCCTTAGCCTGTCCCAGGAATTCCTGCCTCTCCATCGTTACTGGAAAAGCACTCTGCAGTAGTGGTGTAGTCTGCTTTGACATCCTAGTCACAAGTGACGAGAAGGTCATCTGGTCAGGTAGGTTCTGCAAACCACTACTGCTCTAGAAAACAAACTCTCCATGTTGGCTTGGTTTCTGCACCTTTATGGTCACGGTTGCATTGTCGGCATGTGTGTGGATGCTGCAGGATTCAGCTGGGAGCCTAATGATAAGTGTCCTCCCCATTCCTAGTGCTGACCCCGCCTCGGTCTAGGACCTATAATATGCTGGATAACTGCAGCAGCTCTAACTAGCCTGCCCTGGAGGTGAAGGTTCAAGAATTCCAAGCGACTTCAAAGCAGTTCTCAACTTGCATTCAGCAAATGTTAGTGACACTCATGTGCCAAGCCTCTGTCAGACCGCGAAAAAGGCAAGAGGAGGAGGGCACAGCCCTTGCCCGCAAGAGGTTCTCAGGGCCAACCTCACCTCCAACCCCTCTGGCACACCCATTAGGACACCGGCATCCTCATAAAGGCATGGTGAATTCTCACTTCCCTGCTCCAGCTCTTAATCAGATCCAAGTTGTGCCTGACATTCAAGGCCCTATTTGACCTGACCTCATCCTCACCGAGGCTCTTCCCTCTCCCACAAACATCCTGAGAGTTTCATGTTTCAGTTAGCAGAATGCATACTTTGCAGGTAGGCCCAGGTTCCTCTTGGCACCCTACAGAGTTTTTTGTTGTTGCTGTTATCATTAATCTACAATTACATGCAGAACATTATGTTTACTAGACTCCCCCCATCACCAAGTCCCCCCCACAATCCCCATTACAGTCACTGTCCATCAGCGTAGTAAGATGCTGTAGAATCACTACTTGTCTTCTCTGTGTTGCACAGCCCTCTCTACCTATGCCCCCCCACATTATACATGCTAATCGTAATGCCCCCTTGCTTTTTCCCCACCCTTATCCCTCCCTTCCCACCCATCCTCCCCAGTCCCTTTTCCTCTGGTAACTGTTAGTCCATTTTCTTGGGTTCTGTGTTTCTGCTGCTGTTTTGTTCCTTCAGTTCTTCTTTGTTCTTATACTACACATATGAGTGAAATCATTTGGTACTTGTCTTTCTCCACCTGGCTTATTTCACTGAGCATAATACCCTCTAGCTCCATCCATCCATGTTGTTGCAAATTGTAGGATCTGTTTTCCTCTTATGGCTTAATAATATTCCATTGTGTATATGTACCACATCT